ACATGAGGAACTGTATTTAAAGGGCCAGAAGGTTGAGAACCACTGGACTAGCCTTTTTCTGGGAAAGACAAGTAGCCTTCCGCGAGCAGAGAGCAGAGGCAGCGAAGGAAATGCAGGTGGCGTCGCAAGTCTGAGGACCTGGACAGTGGTTTCCTGGAGGGACGACAGCTGCCCGGGGGCAGGGACACGTCTGTGCGTGAGCGGCTTCGTGGCGCCAATACCCAGGAGGGAGCCGTGAGCGGCGATTTGGCAAGAAGCACTCCCAGGCCGTGGCCCTCCCCTTCCCTGCACCGGGGCCGGGCACAGACCCATCCCAGCGCCCTGGCCCTCCTCACGCCCCACACGCACACGCACCTGCAGCACGTGGGCTCCTCAAACCCCGTTATCACTTCACGGAGGAAGAAACTGACGCCTGGGGAGCCTGGGAGGATTGCCCAAGGCCACCCCCAACGACGTCCGTTAGAACGCGGACCCGGGACCAGATCTGAGCCCTGACGGGGCCTCACACCCTCCGGCAGCTGAGTGGGTGTCCTCGGGTCACCCAGAGGATGGAGCGGGGTGAGCTCGGGCAGGGTTTCGATTTAGAAGCGGTGACCGCTCCAGCTCTCAGTGTGCTAACTCCCTTTCCCATCAGGCCCCGTTCAGGGAGGCCCGGCCACCCCGGCTTCTCGAGCCCCGGGATCTACGGTGCAGAGAACGTGGCGGCCTGCTTTCCCGTCGTTGGAAGTAGCTCCTGCCACTCTCTGGAGCTGTCGTTTCGCGTGATGAGGATGATCCTGAGGTTTGAGCCCCGGATACGCTCCCGGGAGTGCTCAGGCTAAAGCTCCGCCCACCTGCAGGAGAATGGATCCCAGTCTAGACTGGGTGGCACGTGCAGTCTTTGGACCAATGGGTTTGTCCATGGTGATGGCAGAGGCTCCAGGGCGAGTATCTAATGGCTGAGGCTGGAGCTGGTGCAGTGTGAGTGTGAGCGTGTGTGTGTGTGTGAGTGAGTGTGTGTTTGTGTGAATGTGAGCACTGGGATGTGGGGAAGGGGACTTCCCCCGCCCCTGCTGCTCTGCCTGCCTCCCTCCAAGGTGCCTGCCATTGGCAGTATCCCACTAGGACATCTGCTCCTCCAGGATTGCCTGCTGGGAGGATGCAGTTGCTCCTGATTGGATGGTGGCAGCTGCAGGGCCAGGAGGTGGGCTCTGGGCCGCAGCTGGCCCCTGGCTCAGGGAGTCCAGGCTGGATAGGGGGAGGAGTGGGAGAGCTGGCCTCCCCAGGATGCCCTCCTAGTTGCCACAGGTGGTGCTGGTTGTCCCAGTGTGAGTGTGAAGTGTGAGTGTGTGTAGGGTGAGTATGAGCATGTGAGTGTGTGTGTGAGCAAGTGTGTGTGAGCGTGTGTGTGAGTGTGTGTATGTATGTAAGCGTGTGTGTATGTATGTGAGCGTGTGTGTGTGTATGTGAGCGTGTGTGTATGTGTGTGAGTGTGAGCGCGTGTGTGTGTGTGAGAGAGTGTGTGTATGTGCGTGTGTTGGGGTGCAGCTAGTGTGTGAGAGTGTGTGTATGTGCGTGTGTTGGGGTGCAGCTAGCAAAGTCACACAGCAAAGGACATGGCTACCAGGAGAAGTGAGGCATGGGGCCAGTCAATCTCCTGTACCTCCCTCCTCCATCCTGAGCCAATCCGATGGCGGCTCGGCCAACCAGAGCATCTGGGTGACCCAGGCGTCCCAGCCAGGCCCCTCAGAAAGTGTCTCCTGTCATTCTGTCTCCATCCTGGACTCGCAGGCTCGGGGCTGGCCTTTCTTTGCAGTTTCTTGGTTTAAGCTGTGTATTCCTTTTCTTCTGTCTCCTGGATGTGCTAAATTCTTTCCATCTTGTGCAAGTGTCTCTGGGAGAGGGAGGGAGGGAGGGAGGGGGGGAAGAAGAGAGGGAGAGACGAAATATAAGCAAATGAGGCGCAATGTAGACCATTGGTGAACAGGATGAAGAATACAGGGGTTTGTTGCTGTGATTTTTTTTACAACTTTATTGATGTGTGAACGTTTTGCAAATGGTCAGTTGGGGAACAGAAGGACGGAGCCTCCTGACCTCTTGGCCCCCCGTCGTCGCCGTCAGCTCACCCGGTAAAAGCTGGGCGCTGAGGTTTACTCGGCGGCTCTCCTCGGGCTCGGTGTTTCACATCTGGACTCTCTTTGCCCGTGAGGGAGGATGGGCGGCCTGGTGAGCGCCCCTGCTTCAGTGTCTCCCTGTACAAGTCGGGGGTTTGCTCAAGGTCCACACAGGCCGGGGCCTAGTGCAGGGGACAGGGACCAGACTTTGGACCTCAAGCCAGCTGTCCCTCCTGGGCCTGGTGTGCTCTCAAATGGCTTATAGCGTCCCCTCCCCCCGCCACTGGGAGGTGGGGAAGGGGACTTCCCCCGCCCCTGCTGCTCTGCCTGCCTCCCTCCAAGGTGCCTGCCATTGGCAGTATCCCACTAGGACATCTGCTCCTCCAGGATTGCCTGCTGGGAGGATGCAGTTGCTCCTGATTGGATGGTGGCAGCTGCAGGGCCAGGAGGTGGGCTCTGGGCCGCAGCTGGCCCCTGGCTCAGGGAGTCCAGGCTGGATAGGGGGAGGAGTGGGAGAGCTGGCCTCCCCAGGATGCCCTCCTAGTTGCCACAGGTGGTGCTGGTTGTCCTTGCACCTGTAGCTGCTTGAGCACCGCCCCCCGTGGACAAGGTGAGCATTGCACCCTCCAGAGAACACTGCCCTTGTTCATCAAACGGACAGCACCCCAGGTCCTCCACCACCGAGGGCAGCACCTCAGGTCCTCCACCACCGAGGGCAGCACCCCCAGGTCCTCCACCACCGAGGGCAGCACCCCTGATCCTCCACCACCGAGGGCAGCACCCCCATCCTCCACCACCAAGGGCGTTCAAGGTTAACACACCGCCCATCCAGCCACCCCCCTGGGCTTCCCTGGGGGAGCCTTCAGCAGGCTGAGTTGCGGTCATTCAGTCGTTCATTCATTCAACAAATATTTGAGTGTCTACTTGTGCCAGGCACAGCTGTGGACACAAGACAAAGCTGGCAACTTCGTGGGAGGGAGACCTCATAAATGAGATGTCTGCGTACGAGGCGTGCTGGAGGGGATACGTGCTGCGGGGAGGGGGGGGTGATGCCGGGAGGGGACGGGGGGTGTGGGGGAGACGGGTTTGCTGTTTAAGGTAAGGTGTTCAGGAAAGACTCCATGAGAAGGTGGCCTTTGTAAAAGAGGCAGAGGTTGGGGGGCGGGGGGCCTTCAGAGGGATCTTGCGGGTCAGAGGGCTCAGGTGGAGGAAGACCAGGTGCAAAAGCCCTGAGGCTGGAGTGTCTGCGGGTTTGTGGGGCCTCAGGAGCCAGTGTGCGGGGGTGAGGTGAGCACAGGGAACAACGGGGGGCGGGGAGGGGCAGATGGGGTCCCAGGCAGGTGCTGAGATTTGGGCTTTCGTTCTGAATAAAGTGAGGAACTACTGGAAGGTTTGGGGCTAAGTAATGGCATCATCTGATTGATATCTAGGAGGTTCTTCCGGCTCCTGTGAAGTAGACCATGGGGGGAAGGTGGGAGCCAGGAGCCCCTTAGAAAGCTGTTGTGGGGACGAGAGAGAAGGTGGTGGCCGGGACCGGGGAGAGCTTGTGGGGATCCCTGCGAGGGGCGGAGGGTCCTGGATGCTCCTGAGGGGGTGGGTGATGGGTCCTTGCTGAGCTGGGATGACGGTGGAAGGGCAGGGCTGGGTGCCCTCGGGAGCTCAGCATGATCTGTTGCTGCCCCAGATGTTACCACAGACTTTACTCTCGGTGTCTGTGGGGCATGGCTCCCCTGGGTCCCCCGCTTCAGGGCCTCCCAGGCTGCATCAAGGTGTTGGTGGGGCTGGGCTCATATTCACAGGCTCGACTGGGGAGGCCCCTCTCCCCCGCAACTCGCACGGTGGTTTGAAGGATTCCGTCTTGTGGGCTGCTGGCCAGAGGTCACCCTTAGTTCCTCGCCATGTGGGCCTCTCCAACATGGCAACTTGCTTCATCAGAGCCAGCAAGTCAGAAAAGAGATGCCACTAGCAAGACAGAAGGCACCATCTACGTGCCTCATCACAGAAGTGACGTCCCATCACTCGTGCTACCTTCTGTGGTTAGAAGCAAGTCACTAGGTCCAGCGCTCACCCAGGGGGGGAAGGGGGGAACGGGAGGGGGGTTACACAGGGCGTGAGTGCAGGGGCTGGGGGAGGCATTGGACAAGCTGCTTCCTTTTAAAAAAAAACATATTTTCGTCCTGGCCGAGAATCAATGATTCTCTCTCATCATTGATGTTTCTATCTGTCTCCTCTCCCTTCCTCTCTGAAATCAATAAAGAAATATATTTAAAAATATTTTTTTTTCATTGACTTCAGAGAGGAAGGGAGAGGGAGGGAAGGGAGAGAGAAACATCAATGATGAGAGAATCATGGATCAGCTGCCTCCTGCACGCCCCCCACTGGGGATCAAGCCTGCAACCTGGGCGTGTGCCCTGACCAGGAATCCAACCGTGACCTCCTGGTTCATAAGTTGATGCTCAACCACTGAGCCACACTGGCCGGGCACAAGCTGCTTCCTTCACACTGAGCGGCCCCACCGGTGGCCTGCAGTGGGCTGGAGTCGGGGTGAGGGGAGGGGAGGCAGCAAGGACGGCCCTGAGATGGGGAAGACAGAGTTCTGAGCCCACAGAGGCCCCTGGTGCCACTGTTCCTGCTGTTTGGGCAACAGAAATGTGCTCCCAGGGCCTCAGCAAAGCCGCCAGGGCGGGCGAAGGACCCCCCAGGAGCGCTTGTGGGGGAAAGTGGGGAGATGGGGCAGAAATCCTTCCCGTCCTTGGGCCTGGTCATCAGCCTCGCCCAAACCCCCGTGGGTCTGTCTGTCTGTCTGTCTGTCTGATGAAGGACGGGCGATGACCTTCACCCTCGCAGAGCCTCCAGGCCAAACCCAGCTGGCCTTGCTGAACCTGCTCCCCCTCTGCTTCCCCGCAGAGCCTTCCCGCGTGAAGAGCCCCAGGCGGGACCAGTGAGGCCGGCTCCATGTACCCAGAATCCACCACAGGCTCCCCGGCTCGGCTCTCCCTGCGGCAGACGGGCTCCCCCGGCATGATCTACAGGTGACTCCTGCCCCCGCCCCCCCCCTCCCGTCAGTCCTGCCTCCAGGAGGAGCCCCCGAGGCCACTGTCTTCCTCTTGACCCGGGGAAGGACCGAGTGAGGCCCTTGGGCTGTGAGGTGCAGCGGCAGGCTGGTCCCTCCAGCTCCCCCATGCCCGGGGCGAGGCTCAGATGCTGGGAGGGTGGGGTCGGGGCGGCCTCTTCCAAGCACAGCTGGGGTCCTTCTGGGTAAATCCCAGGCTGACCACAGGGAGGGGGCAGGAGGCATTGGGCCGAGCTCGGAACCCAGGCGGCATCACTGCACGAAACCGGGGCCCAGGTGGGGTCCTGGGGCCCCCCAGTCCTGGAGCGCTGGGACCTGCCTCGATAGTTATCGGCCTGAGCCCCAGCCAGTGTCCCGGGAAGTCACAGGGGAAAGGACTGTCCCTCCCTCAAGACCCTAAGAACCCACAGTCGCATGCAGACTGGCCAGCGCGTGGGGTGACAGCCGGTCTCGGTTGGAGGTCTTTCCACCCAGACAGACCTTCCCGGGGTGATGGGAGTGGGGGTGGGGTACCTCCTCTCTTGTTTCCTCTTCTCTGTGTGTGAGTGAGGCAGCCCCAGGACCCGGGTCCCAACAGAACGGGCTTCTGCCCCCGCGCGCCACTGGGTGGCGCTGCCGCCGAGCGCCAGG